ACCTAAAGAAGTGAGTGAAGGCCCACAACTGGAACCTGTCACAGGTTCCTCCCACAGAGTTGGGTTTCCACCTCAGGTGTCCCTCCCAGTGCCATTTGCTGACCCTTAATGCCTCCGGCCATCCATAAACACACTCTAGATCTACTCAGAAATATCTGGGATTTATTTTCCAGTATTTTGATAATTCTTTACAAATTGAGTAAGTGGAATGAAGGGAAGTATGTGGGACCCAGGCCTGGCATTGGGCTCTCAACATGAGGAGACATTAAAAAAAAAAAAGATCCTCACCCACATCTCCTGTCTTGCTGTCCTGATCCCTCCCTATCAACCTCCCCTGTGAACGTGAGGTGGGAGCTTTCTGAAAACCTGGGAATGGCCCCTAGAGGGGGCTTCGGGTATCCTGCTTCAGGCCCTGAATTAGTTCAGATTGGGGGCCTGAGTGGGTCCGGGTGTGGTGTCGTCTCCGCCTCTCTTGTCTGCGGGCCAGTTGTCTCAGTTGTTTCCGAATAGCCCACAGCACCAGGTACACTTCCCGCAGCATCTCAGCTTCCGGTGATTCCAGAGGGGACCCGGTCCTCATTTGGGAGGTAACTGAGGTAGAACTCACAGATGACTATAAAGAGGAGAGATGATAGGGTGTATGTGTAAGTAGCTTAGTCTGGGAAGAAACCACGGGGTAGAATAACCTACAGATAAACAGCAGAAGGCCTGTCTGGTTCCACCGCCTCCATCAAGTGCGGCTACGTTCTCCAAGAAGCCTTATTGGCCTGCATTAGGTGGAGACTGTTTCAGTTCAAGCTAAGAGCAGCATCAAGTAGAACAGATTTCTTGCTTTCTTATCATGCCACATCCCATGCACTATTTGTTCCATGGAACTGTTTGCTTCCTCCACTAGAATGCAAGCTCCGGGAAAACAGGAACACCCATCTTTGTGTCCCTGCTCAGGAATTATGGAGAAGGTGTTGAAATGGAGAGAATGACACCAACACCACCACCTCTCTCCTTGGGTTCTAGGACATCTCCACATAGAAGTCCTTCCAGCATCTCAAGTTATCTTGTCCCAGTGCCCTGAACTACTTAGCTTCTCTCCCCCAAGTCTGCTCTTCCCACTTCATTCTTCCACCTAAGAATGACTCTAGTATATCCTGACTCTGTTTCTCCTCCTCCCCCACCTATCACTCCCATCTAATCAAGCACCCAGTCCATCACTTCTACCTCCAAAACATTGTTCGGATCCATCATTATCTGTGCTACTTGATTATGCTCTTTGCCTGGACTGAAACAGTCTCCAGGGGATCTTCCTGCCTCTCCTCTTGTCCTCTTTTGATCCCCTTCCAGAGGGCAACCTGGGAAATTTTGGGGTTTTGTTTCTAATTTATTTACTTAATGCAATAATACTTTATCAAGACCAAACTAAGTTGATCTAGTAGTGACCTAGACATTTAAAGTATTTATTTTGAGATAATTATAGATTCATATGCTCTTGTAAGAAATATGATAGAGATTTTGTATTATTTTCACCAATAGTAAAATCTTGCAAAACTATAGCACAATATCAGTTAGGACACTGATATTAGTATAATCCATTTTGTTATTCAGATTTCGGAGTTTTACTTGTATTCATTTGTGTGTATGGGTTTAATCCTCCGCACTTTTATGATGTGAAGGTTCGTGTATCCAACTACAACAGCTAAGACACACGGTCATAGTATTCTACCCATCACCCCATCCCCTGTTCACGTTTCTAGAGCTTTGACATTTCAGGAATGTTATATACATAGAATTGTATTTGCAGCCTCGGAAACCCTGTGCAGGGTCACTATGAGTTGGAACCGACTCCACTGTACTTAGCAACAACATAGTATGTAATCTTTTGGGATTGTAATCCCCCTCAGGATTCATCTATGTTGTTGCATGTATGAATTGGTCCTTTCTATTGCTGAGAAGTACTCCAAGGTATAGATGTACCAGAGTTTTAACTGTATACCCATTGACCATCTTGAGGGACATTTGAATTGTTTTTTGGCTATTACAAATAAAGCTACTAAGAATATTTGTGCACAGATTTTTGTGTAAACATAAATTTGCATTTATCTGAGATAAATGCCCAAAGAGCACAATTGCTCAATCGTATGGTTGTTAAGTGCTGCCGAGTCAGTTCTGACTCATGGTGACCCGGGTAGGGATTTTGAGGCTTCAAATCTTCGAGGCAACAGAAAGTCTCATCTTTCTCCCACGGAGTGGTTGGTGGGATTGAACTGTGGACTTTGTGGTTCACAGTCCAGTGTTTATCATATGGTAGTTATATGGTATGGTTGTCATGGTATGGTAGTTATATGGTATGTTATATGGTATGGTAGTTACATGTTTCATTTTATAAGAAATTACCAAACTGTTCTTCAGAGTGGTGGCACCATTTTACCTTCCCACCCTCGGAAACCCTGTACAGGGTCGCTATGGGTCGGAACCGACTCGACGGCACTTAACAACAACAACAACCAATAATATAGGAGTACAGGTAAGCTTTCTAAATCAAAATCTGATTATTCACTCTTCTACTCAAATGTTTTCAAGGGCTCCCATTGCTTTTAGGACTAAGCACAAACTCCATCACTTGGCCTACTCACCCTGCCATGTACAAGCTGCTCTTGTATCCAGAATTGCTTTCACTCCAATCCATACATGTAGGGCCACCAGCACACACTGCCCCTCTACCAGCCTCTGCCTTCTTCTCAACCCTGCCAGCCCCTACATACCCACATACACTCCTGCTTTCCCCCTTTTCACAAACAGCTCCTCCCACCCCCACCCCACTTCCCTTCCCCTTCTTCCTCAGCTCTCAGCTCTACCCCCTCTTCCCTGACTTTCCAGGTCTGGACAAGATGCCCCTCTATCTCTGGGATCCCACAGCCCCATGTGCCTCCTGTGTCCGCCTGCCACAGGGGTCTTAGCTTATCTTAAGCTGTAGGTCCCTAAGATTGGGTAACTCTTGTTCGCTGTTGTATCCTTGGTGCCTGGCTCAGTGCTTGGCACAGGAAACAATTGAACAAGTGAATGGAGGGAGGAATGAGTCCTTTAAGATTGGGAAAGGGAACTATTGGGAACAAGGGGGATGGTGCTGACCTTCCAGGAGCACATTTGCCATCCGGTCTGCAGAGCTGAAGCCATTAGCGTGGACATAGACCGGACAGCCGTCTGGGGCAGTCGCAGGAGGGACCGGCCCCTATGGCCCACCTCCATTCCATCTGTTGTCTTGGCCAACATGAAGGGCTCAGAGACCCTGGGGGGGTTATCTATCTTCTCCATCTGAAGGAAGTCATCCACATTGGGACACTCATCTAAGATGAGCTCGTCCATCTTCAGGTGTTTGACTTCTTTGGGGGTCTCAACCATCTTGAAAGGCTCCATCATTTTGGGGGGCTTCTCCATCCTTTTCAACACATGTTTCCTGGAGTCAGGGTGTTCCATGATGGTTAACTTAGTTCTGTTTTTCCAGGACAAAATCTAAGAATCAAAATATGATGAGCAGAGGTATCAGCTACCAAGATAGACAGACAGACAGAAAGAGACCTGGAGGTGGGGAGAGTCTCATGGCCTCTTTCCCCTCAACATCCTCCCCAACTATCTATGTCCATTCCCCACCCCACACCCCACCCCCCGTCTTTCTGCCTTACTAGGCTACAGGAAGACGGCCAGGGGGAGGAGGTTCAACCTTCCAACCCAGCACGTCATGAGGATGAGGGAGTCTCTGAAACTCACCCAGCAAGAAATCTTTCGCCAAATCCACCGGAAGAACTTCACGACCACAGCCATCTCTCCTAATAAGATGTTGCCAAAGTAGGGGCCAAAGCCAGGAATTGGTCCAGGTGGGGGCTAGACTACAAGTCAGTAGCCACCACCTAAGAGGTCTTATAGGAACTGAAGAGCACAGCAGTGAGCAAAGACATAGAAAATCTGGGGAAAGAACTGCCCCCAACAACTCATTCTAGGCCTTTCCTCCCCTCCCTGGAACAGGGAGAGGAGTCAAAGTGGATGAGAACCTAGAGTGAGGGAGAGTTCTAGTCCATTGTGAGAGCCTGTCTGACCTAGACCCCAACCCCCAAGGCCCTCCCAGGACCCAGGAAGCCAACCCTTTATGCTCTGGGCTCTTCTTTCTCCAGATGCAGGGAAGGGAAAGGAAACTGACTTTGAATGTGTTACTTGCAGTTTCCATATATTCATTCAATCAGGTAACCCTCACTAGGAATCCTGGTGTAGCACCCTAGGATACGCACAGGACTACAAGGTCGGTTTGAACCACAAGGTCAGCAGTTCAAACTCACCAGCTGCTCCTTGGAAATGATATACAAGGTCACTATGAGTCAGAAACTACTCTGTTGCACTTAAACAATTCTCACTAGAGCCCTTCACAGTAGGGACCTGAGAGTCAAAACGCCAAAGCAGCTGTTTCAGATGATGAATCAAGGGAACTATAGGTCAAGCCAGGTCTCTCTCTAGGGGCCCAGCTTTGCTCCCCTTCCATCCAGCCTGGGCTCCTGTGTTTTCCAAGTCCTTCTGAAGCCGAAGCTGCTGTTTCCTCCCTTTCACCACTAGGTGGGGTCCTTCTTCCTACCTGCTTGTACTGCCACCTAGGCAAGGAGGAGCAGGGAGGTCCTGGAACTGGATGAAGCCTAGACCCTCCAGGGAGGGGCCTGCTCCCCCACAGGGCCAGTCCTCAGCCAGCTGAGGATGGAAGCTGAGGCAGCCAGTCAGGCCTGGCAAGGGCACCGTGTGCCCAGGGAGTCTGGCCCACACCCAGCCCTGAGACAAGGGGCCCATTCAGGGTCCCTTGCCCCGCCCCCAAGCAGCTACCCGGATCCAGCCGGCAGAGGGAACTCTCTGGGAAGCTGGGGGTGGATCCTGCACAGTCACCAAAGGCCTCATTGTTTCCCTCCACAACCCCCAGCACGTGGGCAAACCAATCCCCCCCACACACACTCCTCTGCCTCTCCTTGCCTGTCCCTTCCCAGTGTCTGCATCTCAGTCTCCACCAGCCACCAGAAACCTCCCCAATCAGGACAAGCTCTCTGGGGGAGCTGAAAGCCTCCGTCTTTGTCTTTTCTCCTTCGTGGGGAACCAGTCTTGATGACACAAGCAAAGAGATGCCAGCTCCCAAATTCAAGTTTCCTCAGATTTTTTAATTATAATTATTATGTTAATAACAACCTGAATCCCAGATCTTCCAGATACTGTGCATACATACTCCCTCCCCTGCGCCAAGACACTGGAGCTGCTCAGGAACAAGGTGGGCAGTGGGTGTCAGCCAGGAAGCCTCCAACAACCCCCAAACCACCTCCTACTGGAGGGAGTACCCAAACTCACATCCAGGGACAGGGAAGGGAAAGGCTGAGATCCCTTATGGAGGAGGGTGCCATCTAACACTCCATCCAACAAGGCCTGCAGACACCCTAGCCCAGACCCCGGGGGACTATGGGAAGATGCAGGTAGGGTTGGGGGACAGGCCGATTCCAAGCCTTGAACTCCCATCCCAAGGATCAGGAGGCATTAAAGCTGCATAGGAGGAGGGGGCAGGCAGCTGGTACAAGGCCCAGCAGCCGTGGCAGCCCCCAAAGGCACATTGTGAGGGAAGGGAGGCTGCTCAGATGGAGGGCCCATTAGGTGCGTGGGGCCCTAGCCTCGGGACTCCTGAGGAGGGCAGCTGGGCCAGCTGCTCGGGGCTGGCCAGGGCACGCAGCAGCGCGTTCTCTTGCTCCAGCGCGGCATTCCGTTCGGCCAGCTCCCGGATCTGTTCCTTCAGTACCTCCACTTCTTCCCGGACAGCAAACATGAGGTGGGACTTCACCAAGTCCTGGGGGCCCAGGGATAGACAACATCAACCCCAACCACATCCCCTGCCTGGTGCTTTGAGGGCTAGGTATGAGACTTCTGCTCCCCAGTTCACTGGGGAAGAAGCCAAGCAAGGAGAATGCAGGAGGGCAAGGAGTCAGGGACAGAAACAGTCTGGCTCCAGGGTTGGGCTGGGGAGCCAGGGATGTCAAGGGTTCAGGTGCAGACAGAAGGCCCAGAGGACCAAATGGAGTCCAGCTGGGAGCAGGTTGAAGAGCTGTTAGTAGTTCTCTGGTAACAAAGAGAGCAGGTATGGGGCAGAGGGACTATAAAGAGGGCAGGTGCCTGAAAATCCACAGACCAAAATGCCTTCTCTTACCATGGCTTGTTCGATCTTGTTGTCAATGCCAACCAGGCTTCCAGAACCACTGGAAAGACACAGGGAGGTAAAAGATGAAGAGGAGGGACAGGTGCCAGGCCAGGACTCTTTAGTCCCCTGCCTGTTTACCAAGTGCTTCCCAGGCACTGGTCTCCCCCGAGCCCCGCTTTGCTGCAGCCCCCTGCCCACACTCCTACCCATACCAGCACCCATACCAGCAGAGAATCAGGGAGAGGAGAGTTTTGTCCAACCCCTGGCGGGGTGAGGACCGCTGCACAGCCCCCCCGAGGCCCCAGTGGGGTGGGGGTCCAGATGCCCCTCGGATGGGAGATGCTCCCCGAGGGGAGCAAGGAGAGGAGACACAACCCCTTTTACGGGGTGGCCCCGGAGCCATGCCCACCACTCGGGTCTCATAAGATGACACCAAGGACTTCACAGAGACTCCCGACTGGGCCATCCCCGAGGGGAAAAGGTCCTTAGGCCACCCAAAGACAGGAGGGCTGTGTCAGAAGGAATGCCTGGGGAGCTCAGAGCCCCCCAGGCAGAGCGGGGCCGGGCTGGTGCCAGGCAGGCAGAGAGGAGATAGGGCGTTGGGGGCGCTGGTCTGAAAGATATACACCAGCCCCCAGGGCCAGGCCTGGCTGCTATTGGCTCCTCAGGGACACGGGGACCCCCTCCCGCCAGTTCCATGGTGGGCGGGAATTCCCAGTGTCCCCTTCTCACCCTGGCGCCAGTCCCAGAGTAGAGTGGAGGGGGCCAGCTGAGGGAAGTCAGCTGGTGGGTCCAGGGAGGGGCTGTGAGACAAGAGTGTGGGCGGGGTGCGAGCATGAGGGAGAGCGTGGCCCTAGGAGACCTCTGACCCCAGCCTGCCCCTGCGGACTAACACTACACAGGCTTCTCAGCTGGGGTGTGGGAAAGGCAGTGGAGGGGATGATGGAAGGGCTTATGAACACTCCGAATATTCCCCCACCTAACACAAAGTCTGTGGAGGTGAGGGAGAATGAGAAAGGTTACCATGACAACAGAAATAGAAACCAGAGGCCTACAAACCAATGACAGCCGTAAGCCAGCTGTGAGGTTTTGGAGGAAGCAGGGATTCAAGAGCAGTAGGAAGAAGACTGGTGTGGCGCTGTAGGATAAGCACTGGACTGCAAGGTTGGTTTGAACCTCAAGGTTTGAACTGCAAGGTTGGCGGTTCAAATCCACCAGCCACTCCTTGGAAACCCTTTGCATGGTCAATATGAGTCGGAACTAAACAACAGGAAAGGGAAGTTCTGATGTAGTGTTATAGCTAACTGCAAGGTTAGCGATTCAAACCCACCTTGGAAACCTGCAGGATAAGCACAGGACTGCAAGGTTGGTTTGAATCGCAAGGTCAGCGGTTCAAATTCACCAGCTGCTCCCTAGAAACCCTATATAGGGTTTCCCTGAGCAGGAACCAGCTGGATGGTACTTCACAAGACAAGGAGGGGGAAGCCACGCAGGAAGGAGCCAGTTGTAGCTGCTATTTGCTGAGTGGCCACCAGAGGTCGACTCAAGCCTGCCTGACTCAGGGCCCCCAGTCCTAGAACCTGGCTCTCCCTCAAGTCGACTTAGGTGTGGCCCGAGGGCCTTCACAGAACTTTGGGCCCAGCCCCATTCTCCATGATTCCCTTCCCTAGCACTGTCATCTCTTGGCTCACACCCTTCCCCCGCCCCCTCTTCACCCTCCGTGGACCCACAGTACTAGAGAATCCTGTTCTCTAGCCTCACCCCTCTAGGAATAGGCCCCCCAACATGCTGTGTCCCCTTGTGCTCCCTTGTCAAATCCTCCTTCCTGGCTGACAGCTTCCCTGTTGGGGGATCAGCACTTGATTCAAGGTGACCCTTGCAGGAGGCCCTGCAGCCAAAAGGGAGTACAAGGGAGCTGGGGATTTTCCATTTCCCGCCCAGGCTCTGGGAGCAGAAGGCGCTAGCAGGTGGGGGCCAGGAGTAACCCAGACCTGAGACAGCAGGATGGACTGGGTGGGAGGAGGACCCTGCCACTTCAGGACTGGTGAAGGAGAATATGCATTTCAGAGTGGAGGACAAGTCAGCAAACTGGAGAGTCAAAGTCGTTTTCAAACTATTTCAATCCATAAGACTGTCCCACCATGTACACAAACAGAGACCCAGGAGGGACACAGTCAAAGCAGAGACAACAAGTAACTTGGTCATCCTTGCCAGAAGCAAGGAATAATACAACTATCAACATTTGGTGGCTGACAGGTAACCATCTCCTGTTTGCCTAGCATTTAAGAATTTCTGAAGGCACTTTTTCACTATCACACTGGAACATGAATGCTTCAAGGGACCAGGCCTCTTTTGAGTACCCCTGAGTTAGGGATGGTGGGCACTACTGGAGTTCTTAGACAGGCCTTACAAGCCACTCCCCAAAGGTAGGCAATTGCACAGAACAAAATGCCTCCTTCTCCAAGACACTTACTGCCATGTTTTAGAAAACTCTCACGACTGTGACCACAAAGGTGAGTGGTGGCTGTCCCATACAGTTGTTCCCTGTCCATGGCCCTGTAGGACTCTTCCGTGCTAGGGCAAGGGCAGTACTCAAGGCTGACCTGCCTCTTTAAAGGTCAAATGAAACCCCCTCAAAATGAAAATTAGATGAAGCAACAGAACCTTTGAGAGAGGTAGGGGGTTCTGATCCTGGGGACAGGGGACGGGGCCAGCCCTGCTCGCTGGCGGTGTTCTAAGGAGCCCCCAGGGGCTGGGCCTGAGGCCAACAAAGTGGCATGTGGCTGCCCTGTCCACTCCCTCCCGGATCTACGGTGCCTTTGGGGTGGGGCCAGGCAGGGAAGAGGGTGGGCTATTTGTCCCACTTGGGAGAGCGGTCCGTCCTGTCTCTGTCCTGGACAGAAAGGACATCCTGGAGTCAGTTGGCTCATCTTGTGTTGCCTCCCCTTCTCCTTCTCCTAGTGAGTCACAGGCATTTTAGAAGAAGAGTGGAGAGACATGGCTATGGATCAGACCTGGGCTCCCATTTCCAGTCCTGCTACTTGCTAACTGGGTGACCTTAGATACATTTCTAAAATCTTCCTTCTCTGCATCTCAGTTTCTTCATCTGGAAAGGGGGATCATGGGATTGCTTCTAAGATGTGATGAGCAGTAGCACCTGACTGAAAGCACCTGCCCCAGTGATCATCACGTTGATTTTAATTCACAGCCACCTTCTATGCTCCATAGGAATTTCAATGGTGGATTGTTCAGAAGAAGCTTGTTCAGAAGCAGCTCATAGGCTTCTTCTAAGGAGCCCCTGGTGTACTCAGACCATCAGCCTCCCGGACAACAGCCAACATGTTCACAGGCTGTGACACCCAATTCCTAAGGATATATGTTCCTCCTGCCCCTCACCTAAAAGGTCCAGGTATCCATTTCCTATAATGTCTATGGGTTATCCAGCCACCCACTCCATCCCAACTCCCATTTATTCAGACCTTTACCAAGTGCCACCCATCTGCTAGGGGCCAGGAGAGTTCTTGCAACCCAGGATCAGGTGAGCAGTCTGTGAAGGCATGGCTCTTCTTCCATGCCCAATTATACAGTCTGGGCTTGAGCAGGCACCCTCAACTCCCCATGTGAGACCCAGGCACTTCACACCCGACCCACCTTCCTCTCAAAAGGGAGTTTCCATGCCATTTGGACCAGTGCTCAATAGTCAGCTCCAGACCCCTTGAGGAATGAGGAAGGGTCTACAGGTTCCATTCCTAGGGGGTGGGAGGACAATCCAAACCCACTGGTCCAGCAGGGTGAGGCAGGAGGGGCTGGGCCAGGTCTGAGCAGGGGAACCCTAGAGCTGAGAGCAGGGAAAAGTAGAGACTGGGAGCCGGACCGGTCAGACTGGGGTGTGTGGAGGAGGTGGGAACAGCGGGAGGGAGGGGAGAAACCAAAAGAAGAGGGCTGAGGACGCCTCTGGAGCGAGAGACTCCTCTAAGACCAGAAAGCAGAAGGTTGGGCTAGGAAATCAACAGGGTGGGGGAGGGACAGGAGCCCTCTTGCCAGGGAACCTCCCAACTAGGAGGGGGAGAGGGTGGGAAGAGCTGAGAATAGCCGTGAGAGGGGCAGGTGACGCCAGGCCTGGCCGACCTTACACCTCAGACATTCCTGAGCGCTGGGATCCAGAAGCTGCCTAGCCCTGCTTGGCTTTGTCCTCACAAAGCCAGCCCCAGCCCCCTTGCCCTCCATCCTACTGTCTCCTGACCACCCCATTCTCTGTCCTTTCTTGTCCCTGCCCCTCTAATGTCTCAGATCCTTTTTTGTGTGTGGTAGACAGTCTCTGATTCTGGGGGTGGGGTGGGGAACAGGTCCCTCACCACCCACTCACTGGCTAAGTCCCACCCCTTCAAGCCTTCCAAACAGGAAGTCCCACCCCCTCGCAGGTCTCAAACAGGAAGTCCCACTCCTCACTCCAAAATAAAAGTGGTCGTTCACCAGTGCTTCTCCCAGATTCCTATCAGCCCTTAAGCAAAAAAGGAGCAGCCAAGCTGCCGGACCTCCCTTTTTCAGTTTGCTGATATGTTTAAACCTGGCCCACAAAACAGGAAGTCCTGCCCACCCTGCAATCAAACAGGCCATTCTCCCCACCAAAGTACAACCTGGCCAGCTCTCCAAGTCCTTTCCTGCTCCAACACAGCCGTCTTCTCTACAACTCCCCCCTTGCTGTTCCTAGCGCTGCCTACCGGCCACAGCCACTAGGAACAAAATCTCAGGGAAACCCTTTCTTGCAATGGAAATCCTGGGATCAATAGAGACTGTAAGCAGTTCACTCTATAGGCAGGGGCTCCATTCCCACCCACCCCCCAATGGAGAGGGAGAAGGAGGTGGTAACTGGGAGGAAACTGATTCCCTTAGTGTCGATACCAGCACATTTGCCCGTATATTCTTAGGGTTGGCCAGATGATGTCTAAATCTGCAGCAGCTCTGGAATTTGATAACAATGACTCCCTTCAAACTCTAAAAAGTCTATGATTTGACAGTCCTAAGCCAGGCAGTCCCAGCCAGCTCTCTCCACAGAAAGGGAGTAGGTCCCAAATCAACAAAGCCAGTGGTTATGCCCAAGCCAGTCTTCTCTTTGAAAGAGTCCTCTCCAAGCTCCACTTGGGGAAAAGAACACACTAGGAGAGTCCTGGCGTGGCGCTGTGGGCTAAGGTGTCAGACTTCAAAGTGGTTTGCACTGTAAGGTTGGTGGTTCAAGCTCACCAGCTGCTCCTTGGAAACACTATACAGGGTCGCTATGGGTCGGAATCGACTCAACAGCACTTAACAACAACAACAACCCTAGGTGCTGGCTGGGGAGCCTAACAGCAAGTCCCCCACCACGTGAAGCCACCTACCTATCATCATCACTGTCCAGGTGGCCACTGATGGCCAGCATGGAGCGGGCCAGGCTGAGGCTCTGGGCTGCTGCGGCTCCAAAGGGGTCCGGAGACTTGTGAACCAGACTGGCATCAGGGAAGAAGTAGAGGGCGGGGGAGCTGGGGTGGGAGTCAAATGGGTGTACCTAGAAGCAGAGAGATAGGAGCTGTCACATTGAAAGAAAGAAAGCAGACACCTGACAACTGGCCTTGTCTTCCTCCCTCCCTCTCTCCCAAGGACCCAGGAGTCCGGCCTCTGCTGGCCCTCTCCTCCAGCTCTGGGTCAAGGCATTGGGCAGTGACTCAAAACAAGGCTGTCCATCCTGAGAACTGGAGTGGTGACTTCTGGATGGGTGTTCATCAGTTATCAGAGAAGGGTGCCCCTCCTTCAGGCGAGCCAGGACCCCTAATCATTAGAGATTAATCAGAGAGCCTTTTGTTGCCTGACATCGAAATTAAGGCTCAACGTCACTTCCTCAGAGACATTTCCCCCTGCCTTCACTAGTCCACTGAACTGTTGTATGTTTTAACAGCCCTTAATATTATCTAAAATTCAAGGAGTTACTGCGTTTCCCTTGCTAGAGAACGTGGGCTTCAGTGGGCCAGGGCTTCTAATTGGTTCAGGAGCTGTTTGCACAATGAATGAATCCTCAAAAGCTGGTCTTCCATCCCCACTATTCCAGCCTCTCCCCTTAAACTCCTCAGGATCCAGGTGAAGTTTTGCTGCTCCCTGCCAGGGTGTGGGGGGCAGAGGGGGGGAAGGGGAGGAGGTGGTTTTGGAGATGAGGAGAGGCGGAGTCTGGGTGTGGACCTACATAGCCCAACAGGCACTGGGGGCGGCTACAAAAGGGCGGGGGCGACAGGAACAAGCCGCCTCTGTGAGGCCCTGGGAGGCCCTAGCTTCTCGGAAAAGCCAAGAACAGAGAGTCCAGGGTGGTTAGAGGGGCAGAGCAGAGGAAGGGAACCTAGGTGCTGCCCCTGGCCCTCCTCCCCCCTTCCCACCTCTGTTAGGGACAAGTGATTGAGAAGAGGAACGAGGGGACTGTAGAAAAAAAGACTTGACACTAACCTAGGAAACAGTCTCACAGTCCAACAGGAAAGCATCAGGACATGGGGGCTGGGCCACTTCAGAAAGCGGGGACAGGGTCTGAGGGCCCAAGGGAAGCTCAAGCATGGCTTAACAGGAGAGAAAGCTGAGACTGGGGGCAGAAGGGGTTTGCTTTGGAAGAAACAATTCTGGGGACAGGACCGAGTGAAGGAAAGTACATCTGCTCCCCTGGGGTAGGAGCTGAACAGAAGAGCACAAGAAAAGTAAGGGGGGATGTAAGCTTGAGGCCAGGATGGGGTGGGGGGAGCCGGTCCTGACCGGTCCTGACAAGGCCCAGACATCCAGTCTCAGGTTATTTTTATCCTGTGGTTTGTGCCCAAGGCCAGGAAGGGGGACAAGTTCTCATCTTCACGCTTGCAACCCAAGGTGTTATTTTCTCCTCCAGGATGAAGCATCCAACCTCCACATCCCTAGCTACCCACCCCACCCCCAGGGACCCAAGCATTCTGCCCCCACTCCCCACACATACACACATACTTGTTCCTCTTTTGGAGACAGGAAGCAAAAAAGAGTAGATGATTTAACTCTTTGCTCAGCTGCTTCCCACCTTTCCCACTCCAGGGTGGCTACCCCTTGGAGAGATCTAGGGAGGTGGGGGTGGAAAGAGGAAACCAGCAAGGCCCCTATTCCTGTAATATGCAACCCCTAACTCAATTCTTCAGGAAGAGAAAGTTGGCTTGGTTTAAAGGTGAGAATAGGGCTCAGATGGGGGGGTGGGGAGCTAGTGGGGAAGGCAGAAGACCCCACATTCTGGACAGGGTGGGCATGGAAAAGAAAGGCTTAATAATAGAATGCCACCTTGTGCCCTCACCCCCTCAAAACCTTGGCAGCTCTTCTCTCAGAGGTCTCGCTACCCATCCCTGCTGGGGCCTCCACCCAAGACTCTTGACTAGGACAGAGTGAGACCAAGACAAAAGGTGAAGGTCAAAGTAAGGAGGCCACAGAGAGATGGAAAGTTGGGACTGGAATGATAGAAATGAGGGACAACGGCAACAAATGAAAGACCAAAGAGATAGAGAAAAGATACAGAACACAGGGAACCTGAGAGAAAACAAAAGTGCCAAGAAGACTACCAAGTGGACTTCAAAGTGATAGGGCAGGAACAGAAAGGAGAGGCTACTGAGCAGACAGACAGACACACAATCATGGAGTGGGGAGGGGAGGAGGGAGGCAGGAGGCCTAGAATGGAGATAAGGCCCAGGCTGAGATAGATGGGCAATGTCACAGTGTCTCTCTTACCCTGGGACCCGCTCTTACCTGCCCTGTCTCCTCTGGAGCCATCAAATCCATCCTCAGCTGCAGAGCACCATCTTTCCTTCGGGATAGCGGAGGAGTTGCTGCTGCGGTGTTGCTAGCCTCCACGTCCACCCTCAGGGAAGGCAGGGGTGTGGAGGCCCAGGTTGTGCCCTCGCTATCCCGGGTCCCAGGCTCTTGGGGGCGCTGCTGGGGTGGGGAGGCCGAGAGAGGAGGCGTCTCCACCTTAGCCTTGCCAGGTACCACCATCTGGCCCAGTCCCCCGGTGAAGGAGCGGGCCTGAGGTCCAGGTGAGGAGGGGGGCGGACGGAGCCAGGAGGTGGGGACCTGAGACAGGCCTGACTGTGGGACAGGGGTGCCCAGGCCCAAGCTGGCCACCTCCAACCTGGAATCTAATGACCTGCCCCCAGTACCACCAGAGGCCCCTCGAATTCCCTCCAGGAGTCGGCCAAAACTAGGGGGCTCCAGGTCTCTCTCGTAAACATCCACACATGTCCACCGACCGCGGCGATAAGGCTCTCCCAGGCCATGAGGCAGCTTCACCACCCGGAAACGGCAGGCGGGGGCCCCAGGCGGCGGGGAGCCATTTCGAGGGGTGCCCCTGCCCCCTGGCTCAGGGTTGGGCTCCCCGTTGGGCAGACGAGGTGGGGGCCTGGCAGGGGGTGACGGGGTCGGGGGCTCTGCACCTCCTGGGCTCCCTGGGCCCTCATAGTCCGTGGTGACGCTGGTGATTTGGAAACTACTCTTCTTCTTGCCCCCACTCATAGTCCCTGGGGCTCAGGACTGGGCCGAAGTGGGCGGGGGCAGCGGAGGGTTCTCGAAAAGACTCAAGCGCCCCTGGAACAGGGGGGCCACATAGCGGGGGCATCAGGGCCCCTGGGAACATCTGGGTCCGACATGGCAGGAGGGTCGTCTTGGGGAACTGGGGGTGCCTGGCTGAGGAAAACAGGATAGGGACAGGAGAAAGGGGCAGGTTTTTCCTGCTGCCGTCGCTGTCGAACGCCAAAGCTGAATTTGCAAACTGGAAAGAGAGAGAGAGTGTGAGTGAGTGAGTGTGTCTGTGTGAGACAGCGAGCGAGCCATGGGCAGGCCACCTCTGGGGCTTCCTCTCTGGGGAACAGGATATAGGGAGGAAGGGGAAATCATCAGAGACCCAGAGACAAAGAGGCAGGCAGACACGACAGAGACCGCGCGCAGGGGACCGCGATCGCAGCGGGCGGGCGGCGCGGGAAGAGCCAGATGTGCCCCCAAATTTGGCACTCCTTGCCTGGGATTCCAACACACAGGACCCAGACGCCTAGGGCAAGGGTTCCGGGACCTAGGTGACAAGAGGTGAAGCAACTTGTCCGCTTGGTCTCCAGGCCCGCGACCCCAACTCCCACAACCCCGGTACTGGGGCCGCCGAGCAGGCCCCGCCCCGCCCCGATCCCTACCTCGCAGGCCGAGCTGGGGGTCCCGCGCCTAAGACGTCGGGCTGTCTGTCTCCTGGGGCCTCCAGCCCCGGCAGCGCGGGCCACCGGCGGTGATCAGAGACTCCCCAATCCTCTTCGGGGGTCGCACCTCATCCCACAAGACATCTCAGGGGAAAGTTTGCTCTCTAGAAAAGCAGGAACATCCACGGTGGCGCCTAGGCGCGGCCTCTGTAGCCCCAAGGGTCTCCCGACCAAAGTGGGAGGGGGCGGCTCGCCCGCCACACCTCCGGATGGACAGCCTGCTCCTGGGGCAGCCGGCCTCGAAGGTCTCGGCGAGTGGGTGGCCGGAGTGTCCTTCCGCGTGGCCACGCTGCTTCTATTTCTGCTCCTTAGCTCCTCTCTGTCGGTCTCTGTCTTTCTCTTTCTGGGCTGTTGACAACCCCCACACCAGGAAGTCCTGCCTCCTCGGGCCTGCTGACGGCTCCTCTCCTCCTTCCCCTCTTCCTCCTCCCTCTCTTCTGGGGCTCCCGGCCAACTGGCCTGGAGCCAGGCCTGCCACTGCCGTCCGGCTCTAGCAGTTGCTGCTGCTGATCCTGGGGGCCCCAAACAGACTTCCTTAACCCCACACCTGCTGGGCCCTAGCCCAGCTCTTCCTCGGAGGAGGGGCTATCGCGGGCGGAAAGAGAGGAGGAGTTTGCAGGGAGGCCAGGGATTCCCTTACTTGTGGGCAAGTGTACCCATTGGTCTACAGACCCACAGACTACTCGGAAGGAACACACCAGCACAGTATTGGGTGCCTGGTACCCAACAAGTGCCTAATAAAATGTAAGATGCTGCTCTGGATGTTACTAATCATACCTTCTTTAGCTTCCATAGTAACTGTATGAGGAAGTTACTATTAATCCCCTACACACCTTATTTTGGAGTCCTGGTGTGGCGCTGTAGGATAAGCACTGGACTGCAAGGTCAGCGGTTCAAACTCATCAGCCTCTCCTTGGAAACTCTATATAGGCTCGCTATGAGCTCGGAAACCCTGTACAGGGTCGCTATGAGTCAGAACCAACTCCACGGCACATAAGAACAACATGAGTCCTCAGAATAGACTGGATGGCCCTTAACAACAACAACATGAGTCATCAAGGTGTAAATAGGAAATGAGTAATACAACTTTGTAGTCCTGGTGTGGCATTGCAGAATCATGCGCTGGGCCCAAAGGTCACTTTGAATTGCAAGGTCTGTGGTTCAAGCCCACCCGCCGCTCCCTGGAGACCTTATACTGGATTGCTATGGGTCAGAACCGACTTGACGGCACTTAACAACAATTCAATTTTAGGGGAGCACGATGGTTGTGTATGATGAGCACTGGAGAGCAAAGCCCACCATCCGCTGTGCGGGACAAAGAGGAGTCTTTCGGCTCCCAAAAACATGTATAGTCTCTCGGAAACCTCACACAGCAGAGGTTGAGTCGGAAAGGCACTTAACAACAATAACACTTTAATGTGTTATCTCTCCTGGGGGCATTTACAAAAGCCCTTAAAGTGTGAAGCCTTTTTGCAGCCATTATTCTAATGAACACCCCACCCCAAATTACATACTAAGGCAGGTAGCCGCTAAGACTTCTGAGAGAGGTTGCGCTGTCTCCCAAGGTCACAGATCCAGTTAATGGTAAAACAGTTAATTTACCCTAAGAAAAGCCTAAGGGATTTCCGAGGAAGAATTTCTCAGGGAGTAGAGATGATTGAAGGGGAGGGGCCGAAGTAGCGACCTTCAGCAAGCAGCCACGCCCGCACCCGAGCCATGGCCCGGGGTGGTCGCAATCAGGGGCCAACACTGGTGCGCTCTGGACTTAGCGGGCGGTGCCCAGCAGGGTCAAAGGTTATGGGACAGCTGACTTGGACCGCTGATGGGCGGGAGCCTGAGCCCAGGCGGGGAAGCAGGGTCTAGGCCCCCCGGGAGGCTTCCGCAGCAGGAGACCCAATACCCAGCAAGCCAACTCCTAGGAATCCCCCACACCTAGGGACCAGAGGGAAGAGGCGTCGCGACCCAGTGGGCACGCCCCCTGCTGGGCAGAAGTGCGGAATGAACGGCTCCGACTCGGTGAGCCCCTCCGTCGGTAAGCTACCTCCCTGTCGGCCTCTCCGCCTCACTGCACCCCGGGCCCCACAGCCGCAGCCTCGGCCCGGGTCCGACGCCGAGCGCACAGGGTACGCGCGTGGGTGCGGCCTCCGAGCAACCGCTGGGGGGCGCCGCTGCGCGTCGTGCGCCGCTCCATCAAGGCCTAGGAGCCAGCGGCAAGCGCGGCCTGGCTGGGCAGGGGGCGAGGAGCGGACTTCCTGAGGCTGGGGCGAGCTAGCGCCTGACCCTGAGCGCCCCAGGACCGATCTCCGAACCTCTCCCCACGACCCCCGAGGTTCCCACCCAAGCCTCACGGCGCGGCGCAAAGCCGCACAGCCGCTCCCGCTCCGTCCTTGGAGGGCGTGGAAGGGTGGGTTTGGGGCCGGGGGCGGGTCTGGGGGCGGACCCGGAGGCGGGGCTGTCTCTGCGGCAGGGCCCGGCGCTGCTCCCCCTGGTCTCTTCTCTGTCTGTCCTCCTCCCTCCTCCTGCTCCGGGCGGAGCCCGGCATGGGGGGGCCGGCGCCCGGCAGGCCAGGTACGGTGATGTAGAAATTGGGGAGGCTTGGTGCGGGGAGGTGGGGTAGGGGGACAAGGGGCAGGGAGGATTGGCAGGGCGCGAGGCGAAGAAACCCGGGGTAGCTAGACAAGGAGAAGGGGAGGGGTGCTTGGGAACCTGGGGCCCTAGGATGGAGAGGGGGATGAAACGGGCCAAGTCTGGAATAAACTGGGGAAGGGGAGGACGGCAGTGAGGAGGGGCTCCTGGGAGAGAAGTGAGGCTGAAGACGAAAAGGAGCGGGTGTTTTGGGGGAAGGGAGGCCAAAGCAGGTATGGAGGCCGCAGCTCAGGGGTAGTTTAGGGTCCTGGAGACCCTGGTGTGGGATTGAGGGACGGGACCGGAAGAGGGAAATTCGGGAGCCTGCAAAATCTTGGAGGAGGAAGAAGGTGATTTGAACCAGCAGTGAGAGAGTGTGGTGGAGACCACTGCTGAGGGGCCAGGGAGCTGGAATAGGGGTGGACGGAGAGGCCCAGGCCCCAAAGGACTGGAGGAGGACTGCTGGGAATGGAACTGAATGGCTGGGTGGTTGGTATTTCAGATGCCCAACTAAAATGCCCCCTACCCTTCCTTCAGCATTCCCACCCTCCCCTCAGCACATCCTCCCAAACCTTGGGGCCCAAGAGGGGCTGGGAGTCTGTCTCCCTCTTCTTTAGTGGGGTGCAGTGTACGCAAATAGGCCGTGGGCACAACAATTTGTCTGTAGATGTGTCCGGTTCGGTGTAGCAGATCTGTGTGTGTCTGGATGTCTGTGTGTCTGTGGGTGTGTCTGTGGGTGTTTGTGTCTGTCTGTTCCTAGGTTAGTGTTTACCTGTGCCAGTCCTCCGTGTGGAGATCTGAGTCTGTGACTCCCCGAGGTTTGTTTGTCAGAATATGGTGTGTGTCACTGCGCGGTTGTTCTCCGCGTATGCGGCCTGCCTGTGCTGTATTGGGATGAAAATCTGTGTCAACCAGGTCTTTCTGAAGTATGTGTGTCTCTGAACACCTTTATCAGGGTGGGTAACCCTGTGCCTGCCTGCCTGCTTGTCTGTCTGTCTGTGAGTCTTGGAGGCTGGGTTGGATTTTGTGTGTCTTATTTTCTTCTTTTTGATGACCCAAGTTATCTCTACCTTTTTCTGTCTCCTCATTCATTCCTGGCCCCCCACCTCATATCTTTCTTTTCTCTACCTGCCCCTACCAAGTGGATCCGGGACCCAGGGAGGGCCATCCCCCGGGCCTGGTGGCACTGAGCAGGGTCCTCCAGCCCCCACCTCCTGCCCCACGACATGAACCTCCTCTACCGAAAAACCAAGCTGGAGTGGAAGCAACATAAGGAGGAGGAGGCCAAAAGGAGGTGAGGTTGCGGGTCCAGGATTGCCCCCTGCTTGTCCCAGCTCAGCCTCTCCCCTTCCTAGCTCTCCATCGTCTTGTCATCACTGAGTCTGCCTGGTCTTGGAGTCCTGGCTCAGCCCAGAGTTGTTGAAATGACACATGGCTCATCCCAGTCCTGCTCTAGAAGGTGTTTGGCTCCGAGGCACCTATCTTCTCTCCCTACCCCCAGAGGCAGGAGTCCTGCCTTCCTGACTTACCTCTGACTTGTGGTCTTCTCTCTGTCAATTTGGGGCTGACTTCCAAGTCTCCTGATGCCTGACCTTGGAAGGGGCAGACCCTGCTGCCCTCGTAGGATCCAGGGAGTTTAGTGCTTGGAGGAAGCATCAGAAAAGGCCCATGTGGTCCCCTCCCAGTCTCCTCGGCTGTGCTAGATAAGGGACCAAGTGTCAGGATTATTTGTGGAGGGACTTGCAGGTTGGGCTGTGCAGATGAGTCAGGACAGAGGAACCCTCCCCCCCCCATCTTCCCAGCTGCCCTCCACGGACCCTGGGTCTGACCTCTCCTGTCTCTGTCCCTTCTCCTCTTCATTCCCATTGACTGCGCTCCTCTTGGAGCCTGAGTCAGAGCCACCTCCCTGCTGCTTGCTTCTTCCTCCTTGCAACTGTGGAGTTTAATTCTTGTTGTTAATTAGATTAATCAGAGCTATCACTGCAGCGATCTCTCCCTAATGAAGGGCTAGTAGACAGGGCCTTAATGAGAGCCCACCCCACAGCAGTTTTCCTTTCTTCCTTGCCAGCCGCCCCCTCCTTCATTCACATAGCAGTGCAGGGACAGCGAAAGGGAATGGGGGTGAGCCAGGAAGGGGGACAGAGAGAGGACAGTGCTCGCCGGGCCGTGTGGACACTGTGCGGGGTGGGTATGGAAGTGGCACCGGGTAGAGGGATGAAAGGATCGGGGTGGGGGTGACTGTTATGGGGGTGCAGCTGAGTTACAGACCCCCGAGAGTGGAGGAGGGGTAGTGTATAGGGGCTTCTGCCACAGCAGATAGCCATGAGGGGAGACCAGAGGCCAGTATGAGAGTGGGCAGAGGATCAGAGCTGGGGCAGCAGTTGTGGCTATCTGTCTAGAGGGTGGTGCTAGTGGGCTTGCATTTCTACACCTGTATATGTGCAGATACTGGAGATGCCTGGCATGAGACCCAGGGACTCCTCTCTGCATACAGACCTACCCAGCCTTCTATATCTGCCTTGATTTCTTAGCCTTTTAGTAAAGCCCAGGGGTTCGGCCTAAAGCCCCCTTCAAGCTTTGGACCTTCAAGCTTCCCATTGTTCCCACCCCAGTCTCCTGCTCTCCTCCTTGGGAGGCATATGGTGGAACACACCTCTTACGTTGGAGTTTTCATCTTGGATCTTCTCTCCCCAGCTCCAGTAAGGAGGTGGGTCCTGCAGGCCCGGCGGGGCCTGGGACCAGCTCAGGGCCTGGGGTCCGAGTGCGGGACATCGCCTCGCTGCGCCGCTCCCTCAGGATGGGTTTCATGACGATGCCCGCCTCCCAGGAGCACACGCCCCACCCCTGCCGCAGCGCCATGGCCCCACGTTCGCTTTCCTGCCACTCTGTGGGCAGTATGGACAGTGGAGGGGGTGGGCCTGTAGATGGCGGTGGGGGTCTCATGGAGGACAGCAGTGCCCGAAGACCCCCAGCGAAACCACGGAGACACCCCAGCACCAAGCTCAGCATGGCAGGGTCGGGGGCAGAGATGCCCTCCAGCAAGAAAACAGGTGCGGTACCCCTCACCCCTCCTCAGGTGGAGCTGGGAGCTGGGAGGATCCATTCTAGGCCAGAAGAGGCCTGCCAGGGGAGGGTTCATTCAGGGAAGAACCAAGGCAATGGAAGGTTTTACTCTCAGAGGGTGGGCCTAAGATGTACTATTCAAGGTCAGGGGAAGTTCCCGGAGAAGTCCATTATTGATTGGGAAAGGGGTGGCCTTGGAGGAGGACCATGAGGGTGGGAGACAATTTGAGGTGGGAGTTAACAGATTCTGGGGAGTTTTTAGAAGAATGGAGGGCTGATTGAGTGAAAACAAACCTGCAAACGTACAAGTTAAGGGGTGAGATAAAATGAAGAGGTAGCTGTGTCCTTCCGGATAGGTCCAGAGGTCAGAAGGAGTCCCCCGGTTGCTGTCCCTCACTAAGGAAACCCGCCCCCCCCCCTTTATTTTCTTTTTTCCAACTTGTCCAGGCTCACAGAAGCCGACCCCAGAAAGTCGAGAATCCAGCCGGAAGGTTCCTCCACAGAAACCCAGGCGAAGTCCCAACACCCAGCTTTCTGTCTCCTTCGATGAGTCCTGTTCCCCAGCCCCCTCGTCTCGAGGGGGAAACTTGCCCCTCCAGCGCCTCAGCCGGGGGTCACGTGTAGCTGGGGACCTTGATGTGGGTGCCCAGGAAGAAGAGCCCGTATACATTGAGATGGTGGGGGATGTCTTCAGGGGAGGAGGAAGAAATGGAGGGTGTCGGACTGGGCCCCCTCTTGGGGGTGGAGGCCCAACCCCTCCAGCTGGTCCCGACTCAGACTCTGAAGAGAGTGAAGCCATATATGAGGAAATGAAGTACCCACTGCCCGAGGAGGCAGGGGAAGGCCGGGCCAATGGGGCCCTGGTACTGACAGCAACATCCCCCCCGCACCAGCCTCATATCCTTCAACCCCACACCCACCGCCGTCCAGCTTCAGCCCTTCCGAGCCGGAGGGATAGGGATGGGACACCCACCAAGACCACCCCTTGTGAAATCCCCCCGCCTTTCCCCAACCTCCTTCAGCACCGCCCTCCACTCCTGGCCTTCCCCCAAGCCAAGTCTGCTTCCCGAACCCCTGGCGATGGGGTATCAAGGCTTCCGGTCCTCTGCCACTCCAAGGAGCCAGCTGGCTCGACCCTAGCTCCCCAAGTGCCTGCACGGGAGCGAGAGACGCCTCCCCCACCGCCTCTGCCTCCTGCTGCCAACCTGCTGCTGCTGGGACCATCGGGCAGGGCCCGGAGCCACTCAACACCGCTGCCACCCCAGGGCTCTGGTCAGCCCCGGGGTGAGCGGGAGCTCCCCAACTCCCACAGCATGATCTGCCCCAAGGTGGTGGGGGTGCCGGCAGCCCCCTCCACCCCGGCTGCCTTGCTCCCTGGCCCCCCCAAGGACAAGGCTGTGTCTTACACCATGGTGTACTCGGCAGTCAAGGTGACCACACACTCTGTCCTGCCAGTGGGCCCACCCCTGGGTGCTGGGGAACCAAAGACGGAGAAGGAGATCTCAGTCCTCCATGGGCTGCTGTGCACCAGCTCGAGGCCTCCCGTGCCAGGGAAGTCCAGCCCCCATAGCGGGGCCGTGGGGGCAACAGCTGGGGTCCTCCACCACCGAGGGTGCCTCGCCCCTCCCCACAGCCTTCCGGACCCAACTGCGGGCTCCCTGACTCCCCTTTGGACTTACCCAGCTGCAGCAGCTGGGCTCAAGAAACCCCCTGCCTATGAGAGCCTCAAGGCTGGGGGGGTGCTGAATAAGGGCTGTGGAGTAGGGGCCCCATCCCCCATGGTCAAGATCCAGCTGCAAGAGCAAGGGGCCGATGGGGGTTCCTTCGCCAGGATCTCCTGTGCTCATATCATCGCCAGTGCGGGGACACCAGAGGAGGGAGATGAAGAGATGGGTACCACAACGTTTGGGGCAAGCTGGGCTCTGCAGAGGAAGGTCCTGTATGGAGGGAGAAAGGCAAAGGAGCTGGACAGTGAGTGAGAGGGGTGGCAATTAGAGGGGGGAG